CAATATCTCGTTTGATATCTGCCATTGTTTCTTATTATATAATATTTAATTATATTGTATTATTTAGCGCGAAGTTGAGTAACCGTTTTATATACATTTTGACTTTGATTTATTTGCACAACTGTAAGATAATTTAGTTGTGTTAAAGTTAGGAACGTTGCGTAACTTTAATCTGAACTCATCTTATGAGAACTGTTATCTTTATATTGATCAACTTAGTTACCAAATTATGTAACTGAATCAAAATTTAAAGTAATTTTAAGTAATGAATTTTTGGTCGGTCTATCACCGTGTGTCCATCATCAACAAGGGTATCAATTCAATCAGATAAAATATTCGTGCACATGCATACAGATATTACGATTTTAATATGTTCTTATCAAAAAAGGAAGTCTATCAGTTGCAATTTGGTAATGCATTTTCTTTATCACTAAATGCGATTCCTATTGCAGTATATAACTTTATTGAATACAGGCCAATGATCGATATTATAATATTTAAAATACATGAGTAAATATATGAATTGATATAACTTAATGAGTGGGTAGACACATGCTTAGGGGTTATTACACGTGCCATTTAAATTAATCAACATCTATTGCAGCGATTGATCACTTATCATTATTTTGATAACATTTTGTTTTTAATTACAAATTTATTCACTGGTTTCTTTTCTTTTGGTCAGTCCTCTCTTATTTTATGTAATTATTTTGTTTAATAACCTACCTGGTATTTTGGGCCATTTATGGTCGTAATTTAGCATAATCATGCCCTCTTTTAAAATAAACTTATTTCCTATGTTTGGAAAAAAATTCTTCCTCAAATAACATTCACACGGAAACTTTCGGTAAGTTGTGTTTACAGAGGAAAGTCATGATACACATTCCATTTATCTTGCTCTGTTTAATTGTTATTATCAATGAAATTTCTATTATAATTGCGACACAATCTTTCTCGATCTGTAAATATTTGCATACTATAAATCAAAATCAGATAACTTTATTGTCTTTGTGTCATCTTACGTTTATAAGATATCACAGTGAGCTGCAGTGATATCTAACCAATTTATTGTCTTGTCATCTCAAGACTTATGGGGCTCTGACACCACGTACTATTGTTTAAAATGTTTTAAAAAGAAAAACATCCTTAAAAACACCCAAACCGGCAAAGTTGAAAATGTTGCAGACCCGGTTTGAGTGGGTCTGTTGATAAGCCATACTAGAAAGTGAACGCTACAGTCCACGCACCCTAGCACCGGCGTAAACAGAATTCAACATGGAGAAAAAATAAATCAAACCACTACACAGGACGAATGGCAGTATAACAGGATTTTTATCTTAATTATTAATATTTTGTACAAATGTTTCTATTACACAATAGATTTTCCATTCAGAAAAAGAAATTAATAACTCTGAATCTTATTTTGCCATCCGTATTGCTGCAACAATAAATTACAGCCGTTGGACACGATGGATATACCTCTGACGAGCTTGAGTTTATCATATATTATTGCACTATCATTGAAATCTAAAACTAAAAAGTATATCTGTTGTATTTTCTCTGGTTATATTTGGTTAGCAGAATATTTGCATTCTAGATGTGCAATATTTCAAGGGAGAACACAGAGCTGGTCATCTGCAAAAACTGACAACCGATTCAATGTTTTGACATATCATGTAACGAATGTTACACACGTCATATGCATTGTAAAGAAACGATTTAAATGTATTAATTATATGATTAACAAAATTAAGCCTCTAGTTTTGAAAGCTACAATGAAAATTATACATAAATAAGTCTCTGGCACACTATTTGCTCCTTGCTATGCCATGGGTTGTTTTAAAATGATCAATTTCAAGATTTCTAATTATAATTGTCCTAGGGGCAGTCTCATTAGTTTACAATTTTACTATCCATTTATTAAAAGAGAAAGTCCTTACTAAATAACTCTTTATACAATTATTTGTCAATCTTTACTTTTTGTGAACACTACATGTGTATACTAGAAACAACAATCAACATGCGTACATACTGCAAAATCCTATATTTTTTTACTTTTGCAGTGAATGAAATATCAAATATTACCAGGACAAAATAAAACAATCGGATATCGTTATGGATTTGTCTTGAAACACTTTCGTCAAGCACATGAATGTTTTGTTTTTGCTATGATAGTTTTTGTGAAGAATTTTGAAAATACGTGAAAACCTTTGCCATTAGAGGTCAGTTACACTCAATCATAAACTACGTTCTATATGTAATCATATAACAAGAACGTCAGTTTCAAACATTCATTCAGGCGCTAATTTTAATATATTTTCCCAAAACAATGTTCTTTTCCCGCGTAATGACAATTATTCAGTATTCATGCAATGTTCCTTGCATGCACATGCTTCTGTATATGTTAATGGAAGAAAAAGGCCTCCCTCCTTAATGCTTAATATAGAAATAACATATTGATACATAATTTTGTTCCTTCTATAAATGTCTTTTCTCCTAACATCTTTTAAATATTCAATCATATGATTTTGTCATATATTTCAGGTTTAGTTCACAATAGCCGGTGAAAGTCTTCTTGAGAAGCAAAACTCTGCCGAGTTGGAATGTACAAATATCAGGAAAGATGTCGGTAATCAAATGACATCGCAAGTATCATTCGTTATTTTGCAAATATTTGTATTGTAAAATTCATATACTTTTGTACCTTTGCTTGACAAAATGTGCTTGACAAAATGTATAAACTGTATCAAGTCAGACAATTCTAGCGTAATTGAATCCTTAGCCTATTAATCTACCTAGTGCAGACAAGTGCATACCAAGATTAACCTGCATATCTAATACCTGATAATGGTATGCGTTCTTCTCTAAGAATAAACAGTTTTGTCAAGATTAAAAGACGGATACGCCCATTTAAGATACCGGTATTAAGCGTATTAGTTAATAATGTTAATGTTTTTTTTTAGTTGTCACTTTATTCTTTATTATTCTATTTCTGTAATCACTCTTTTTTCATAAGTATGATTCTAAGGATTATTATTCCCTCGCTTTGTGAAGTCTTAAGGTAATAGTTTAATTGTAAGAACTCAAATTGTTAGGTGATTAATGAGTTTATGTAAATTATGATATCATGCCAACAGGGCAACAACTGTTTAACCTTTCAGACACTGAGAAAGAATGCACCGATAAAATCACGACTTCAAGGTGTAAAAATGGATCCCATTTGATTTACATTCTTTGCAAATTTTTTAACATATCAACAATATATTATTTCCTTTTGCTTTTAAGGCACACAAACACAGTTAAGGCGCTGAAACATGAATTTGGGTAACCTAGGGTGTTACAATCTTAAAGCAACACCACCTCTTCTGCTGGAGCTAAGAGATGCATTGACTCCATTGACAACGCAGGGTTAAACAGTGACTGCAATTCTGATGCCTCAATCTGTGAAGGCAACCCTCGCCACAAGGGGCAACACATTTGTTACCCATACCCGTAAATCCGTAAATGAATAATATATGATATACATATTCTTCAAAAATAAAGTTGTATTAACTGTTGATGTGCGTGGGATTAATTTACAAACCTCTAAACTTTTTCTTTATGACTCGGAGTTTCAAAGTAAACGATTAATATTTACTTATACTTATTACACATTTAATCCCACGATTAAAAATATTACAAATTGCTTACATTCAAACTACTCGAAGATGTTTTGTTTTAGAATGATATGTTCAAGCGTAAATCTAAATTAAACTTTACGAGATATCTTTGCGAATTGTTTTTACCATAATTATAATACGTTTTTAGCAAACTACGTTAAAGACAATAAGATAAATAATTTCTTAATCATCGTTCGGATGCTCGATTTATGTTGTTTTAATATTATTATTATTAGTAATTACATTTTGAATATGCTTAAAAGTTTATGACATCAGTGCTGTGATAAGTAATTGAAAATTTCGTTCTTTATTCAATTATTTAACCCAAACGCAAATGCGACCGCTGTTTAATAAATAATAGTTTGCTGTACATTGCGTAAATACCCTGACTTCTTTATAATAAGACGTAGCGTTTAAATGATATATATTTCTCCTTCAACAAACATAACTCGCGGACAGATATGCATGTTCACGAAACGTCATTTTATAAAATGACAGGAAATTCATACTGTTATTTCATTCCGTTGAACAAAAGATATGGTTTATCAATATTTCCTGAATAATCGTACTGAATATTTGTAATTAGATACAAGAAAAACAGTGTTTTTTTAAGTCAGCCAAAGACACCCACTTTCACAACTACAACCCAAAAGTTACCAACACTGGTTTGAAAGAATGATTATGTATTCATTCCATCGTCTTGGAAAGAATTTAAACTTGCAGTAGATGTGATAATCATCACATTAATTATAAACCGCGAAATTTGTATAATATATTTGTCCAGCTTGATTTTTGAAACAGTCAATCCAGAATTAAAAACATTTCAATATCAAAATACAAAAAAATAGCTGACATAGATAGAGTTGTCAGACTTTATGGATTTAAGAAAATATAAGAACGCTTAGAAAACGTATTTGTATATCATGTTTAGCTCGTGTTTGTTTGAAGTTTGAACGTATGATGCATAAGTGACGATAGTTTCATGAAACACAAACTAAAACACATTACAGGAAAGTATAAAACTTAATGAAATCATAAAAGCTACGGAAATATCGTCTTTTGTAAAAAAAGAGAGATTCTATGTAGATGTTATGTAGAGACAGTGATAAAAAGGAAATAAATTACTACAGTACGCATAATAAAGTGGTTAATGTATCACTCCTACTCGAAAACAAATAATAAAATTAAAGGGTAATTGTTTGTTTTATGAATGTGTAGATAAACATGATACGCTAAAGAATAGGCGAAGCATCTTGTTCGTACTTTATTTCATTTCTTTAATAATATATTCGAAGTGGTTTTATTTTTTATTTTCACATCTGGCATTCGTGTAAGAATGTGTGAACGTACTGGTGTTACATACAATCATTTCACAAGCCCTCTTATAATGAAATTAAATAGAATAGTGCGCATTCCGTGGTGATTTGTTCTGTACAACATTGCCTTTATCTCCTACGTCGGTACTTGAAGTTTTTGATATCTTATTCGCAGTTATCAAAAAGAACAAGGAAATTTATTATAAGGAAAATATATTCCAGAGTGTTAACTTTTATCAACAGAGGCAAAATTTAAAGACCGTGTTTAAAAGAAAAAATATTAAAAAAAAAACATATATCAAAAAAGGAATAAGAAAGGTATTGGCAAAGGTATTGGCAAAATGACCAGTGTACTTGGAAAATGGAAGATTGAAAGTTCTGAAAACTTTGAAGAGTTCATGAAAGCAATCGGTAGGTAATAATACATTTTACGTTTTTATGCTCTAATTTCTTAAATCAAATTTATTCTTTACTCCTTTGACACAGAATAAAAAGCTGAAAATAGTAAACTTGAAAAAGCGAATTTCCGTAAAATGTTTGACAAAGCATAGAAAAACAAAAGTGATTTTTGCTGAAAAAAGGAAAGAAACTAGAGGATCTGGAAAAAAATGGTATAAAATCAACCTTACTCTAATAATGGTAACTTTAGCTATTAAAGCATACATTTATACACCGAGTGTTTCATCAGTCACCTTTAAAAAGGCAGTGTCATGAAATATTTGTTACGTTGGACATATACGGTGTATTAAAATTGATATTGGATCTAAATTTAGATGACTATAATATTGTCAATATTGATAACAACATACTTAATGTTTGAAAATATTCTAAAATTTCCATACTTTGTATCAAATAAAATAAATATAATAAAATATGATTGCAGATGTTCCCGAAGACAAACGTGCAAATGCGTTAAAGTATTTGTCCGCAGGGTCCGACATGACCCAGGAATTTAAAGCTGATGGAGATAATTGGACAATGACCACTGTGTCGGCTGCTGGTGAGAAAACCCTGTCCTTCACAATAGGAAATGTAGCAGATTCCGCCACACTTGATGGACGTCCTATTAAGGTATGTTGAAGATAAAAACATATTCGATTCTGGTTTTAGAGACTGTGTGTGTTTAAAGAAAAATAAAACTCACCCAGACTTTTGAATTCCTTTTAAGCAAGCTTAGTTTTTGAATAAAGAATTTAAATATTACACAGAAGGTGTGTATTTTTTACCTGAAACTCGTATAACTAGAAGATATAACAACCACTTAGAATTGAATGCAAATCTATACAAGTATCAGCTCTCGTTTCTGATCCTTTTTTCACACATTTCATGTGTTATAAAGTTATTAATGTAAATTGTAAATGTGTACTCTTGTTATAAAAAAACTATGTGTTTAACAAAAATAAATATATAAAAATCTCAATTTTTAATCATTACTGTTACACACAATTCTCTGTGTAAATTTCCCCGGCATTTTCTTATTTGCAGAAACTTTTATTTCTAATCAATAAATCCTAGACTTCTGCATTTCAGGTTTTGTTCACAATAGACGGTGATTGTCTTGTGGAAAAGCAAACGGCAGACGGGTTTGAATGTTCACATGTCAGAAAAAGTGACGGAAATACATTGACAATGGTAGGTATACACATATATTAAAAGGTTACTTGGTATTTTTATAAGCAATATGTATCTTGAGTATTCAACGGCACCCTCAATAGTTATGTGGAGACTACTGTACAAGTTTTACTCTTTGAATACTTCCTACGTAAAGTTAATTTAAAGGAAATTTACTTCCTACATGAAGTTAAGCAAAATTTAACCATCTTGCAAGCGCGTCGTAAAACAAGTTATCAGCACCTTTGTTTAATTACATTTCGTTGTATTAATTAAAAACCCAATATACCAAAAGTAAAAAATAAAATAAACAACAAACATGATTGTGGGTACCTTCCCCCGCCCCCATTCAGTCTAAGTTCGATGCAAGTACACGCGCTGATAAAAAAATATAATTAAAAAACAAACTACATTGTATATAGCATTACTTTGTTTTTACTTCCAGACACTGAATGGCGGAGGGCAGACATGTACAAGGAAATTCTCGAAGGTGTAAATGGATCTTATACATTTATTTACGTTCATACAAATGCTGGAAACGTTCCAACATATCAAATTTGTTAGCCATGCAGCTGGCTTTTGAGTGAATAAACTACTCGTCTAGACATAAGGATGCATTATTTGTTTAAGCGATTGTACGTGATTTGCACTCCTTTGTATATTTTGTCTTATGACTCAACATGTGAAAAATAAACAAGCTACCGGTATGAAAGTACATTATATTATGTGTATTAATGAAATCTTGTTCGAATTTTACAATAAAATGGCCTCATAAATTGTTTACATTCAACATTCTTCGAGAATTCTGTGTTTACAACTAAAATAAACGATACGAAATGATCTTTGGGAAATGTTTAATTTCAAAATTAATTGAAAATATTTTTAGAATATTTTGTTTTATAACTATTTACAGGTAAGTATATAAAGAATTTTGAATTCAACATTAAACTTCTAATACATCTCTTATTAATATGATCCATTTATTTCTGCATTTGCATCGTTTTGCTTCGATTTTATCACAAAAAAGGTTTGTTTCTTTGCAAATCGTATTTTTTCTTATAATTGTTAATGCACCATCAATTTAAGACGAGAACAATCGACCTTAGTTTAAAAAAGCAATGAACATTTCTTACACCGGACCCGGTTTATCATACATTTCTTTCGATAAAAATCGCTTTTTGTTCCCGCGTAAGAAATGGTGGAAATAAATTATTTAAATTATTTGTCACATTTCTATTTGATTATTTCTCCACACTTCAGTCATTTTCATAGATACTATTGCATGGCTGAACAAAGTATACTATGTTTACAACGATTTCTTATAATTGATCTTGCATTCCGTAATTACGTATGTCTACAGAAATTTGCATGAACATCTCGCCGTTTGTATAAAAATTTAACTTGCATAAAATTGTCTAACAGTGTAAGATGACAGATGGTTTCTTTCTTATTAAAGATTAGATGTCCGTATATTCCAATTGATGATAAACATAAGACAAAAAGTAGGTCATTAATTCTGGTGTCACACTGCACAATATCATACAAGTAAGACATGATCTGAGATATTTCGTTTATTCTAATAGCGGACTCGATATATATTATACCCCAGTACATCAGATTGTTTTGTTTTGATCGGGTTTAGTAAAGGTTTTGTGACGACTTTCCATCTTTACTGGTGTAGGAATAGCTCAGGTGTCCTACCCTACCAACGAACAGGCACATGAGTAGAACAACCGACAATATGTAAGCTGGTTGGATAGCTTCCTCACATGAATGTTTCCACAGTCCATCATGCAAAATATCAATTATATTTTATTTTACGGACAAAAATTACTTTTTTTCACAAATGATTTCATATAAACTTTGTTCAAACGAGCGAAATAATTGCATTATTAACAAATTGCGGGTGACCCGAGTCTTAAAAATTTATAACGTCCGCCCCTTATTTTGTAAAGGTAAATGGGTTTGTATGTTATTTGAATATTTTTATTGCAATGTATGTCCTTTACTTTGACTTAAGTTTGTTATATACATGTACATTTACAGTAGAAACCCTACTTAGGACAAATCATCCGGACTAAAGAAACTTAGTATTTACTATTTTGGACCACTCCTCCGGAAGAAAGACACGAAATATATATGAACACTTGTTAATATATTTTTTTCACAAATCCACGACTAACAGCAATGCAGTAAATAAATAGAAAATGAATAAATACTAAAGACTACGTGTAATTTAAAATTTTCAAGTATTCAGCGTGCATTATCAATATTCAAGCAGCATGCCCCCAGATCCATGTTAATATTCATGAAAAATGGGACTGTAATGAAAAGTAAAATAGTGTGAAGTGAACAAAGGAAATAATTTACAATTTGTAAACGGCACAAACAAACCACGCAAAGAACCAAAGCCCGTATTACGTTAGTCACAGAGTAGAAATATGCTGATAACTACTGCAAATCAATCATTCATTGCACACATGGGAAGTAGAACTTGGTATTGAATCCTTTTATTTTTCTTAAAACAATTTTTATTAAGGTATATTTTGGCTCATCTGCAAAGCATGTTGCAAACAAAAACATCGTAAAATCTTTCGCGCCTGAAGACATTAAAGCGGTTATGTTGATATGATAAATTTATACACACGTATTATGTTTAAGGTTCAAGATTTTTTTCTTCAAAACAACAGAAGGTCAAAGATCCACATGACCGGCATTAACATACAATATATGGCTACAGTAATTTAATATGAGCCGCGCCATGACAAAACCAACATAGTGCGTTTGCGACCAGCAAGGATCAAGACCAGCCTGCGCATTCGCGCAGTCTGATCAGGAACCATACTGTTTGCCTACAAACCCTACTACAAGTAGAGAAACTGAAAGCAAACAGTATGGATCCTGATCAGACTGCGCGGATGCGCAGGCTGGTCAGGATCATTGCTGGTCGCAAACTATGTTGGTTTTGCCGTGACGCGACTCATATATATTTGATTTTATGATTGCTCACTTGTATAAGAAAAAAAAACCTGAGGTTAATATCATTAAAGATTTCATAAAAATATACCACAGGCGAAAATAATTACAAATTATTGACACTTTATTTATGATAAATATTTTACTGTTAATTGAACGTTAAGAATAGTATTGGAAATAACATAAGTAGTTTTGCTACAACACAGGAATAAACTCTGTTGAAAAAAGTCTTAGCAAAAGGTAATCATACTAGTTAGTCCCTTTTATTTTCTACAAAAATGAAAACTTTAAATACATATAAAATGAGTTTTTAAATAACAATAATAAAAAAGCATAACGGTATACTCTAAATGTAAGATTCAGATCATGGAATAACTGATACTTCAGAAATATTAATAGAAATAAGCTTAAGTAATTTGTAGGCTTTTTGTTATGAAATCACGAATGCTAATGAAAAAAGAAGACATTTATAGGAGTTAACTATCATATTTTTTTCCAATATACGTCAATTATTCGGTAAAAATTATAAGTCACTGCACTATTATATTTTATCTTATTATTTTTAAATATCTTTTAAAACAACAAAAACAATAATAAATATCATTTTCAATTATTTTTTTTTTACCTTGGGCGCAAACTTGATAATTTCATCTTTTTCGATTTTCAAATATTTATTATAACTACATGTATAATACATGTAGTTATGATGAATATTTGAAAACTATAAGATAATGATATTAAAGTAATTTTAATTGCATGAGAAAGAACAGGATAATGCTGTTTTCATGATGAAGAAAACATTGCAGCTGAAAGAGTAAGAAGTTTAAGCTACATATATATTGTATCAATTAACCTAATGACATTTGCTGTACATTAATTTTACATATTACAATTTTAATTTTAGAAAACGAAACTGTAGATATGACAAAATAAAACATAGGTATTAGTTAATCACGCAATATGCAAAAAATAAAGAAAGCTTTTTGTTTTGTTTATGGCCTTCGTATAATGATATTATAGTATTAGACTATTAATACATTATGTTGTACAATATTGAATTCTTTTGAGTACAAAGCTGTCACAGCCATGTTAGACGAGCGCTAACCAAGTCTCATATAGATTTTGCAGCTTATGGAATTACTTTTCACGAACTGTCATTTTGACAGAACTGTGTTAATTAAATAACAATAATTCATACAAGAATTCGATCTGGATTGTTGGAGTCTCAAAATGAAAACGAGAATAGTTAGAGCATGATATATATTTGATAAAGATATACTGGACTATCAAAATGAAAACGAGGCTTTTGCATGGGTTGGTGATTTGAATTAGACATGGATTTCGTGGACTCTGAAAATGAAAACGAGGCTAAATTGATAAGATTAAATCCAATAATGAGGTCTACTGTAGCATCTTGTGGTACACATGCAAAATGTACATTGGTTATACATGTATTTCAACAGGTGTCAAATAGTAGAAATTATCAGATATACAGATAGAAGGTTTGTTTTGTGAAATTAGATATAAGATAATTCTTTGATTGCAAACTTTTATAAAATTATTTAAATTTTTTTTTAAATTTACATGTTATTGATGCTCTTTAAAATACTTGCAAAATAATAATTGTTATGTTTTTATTTAAAAAGTGTCATAAATAATTATTCTTTAATTGATATTTTCGATTAAGCATGATGATAAGGTTCACCTAGTGGTTATATAAATTATATCTTATCCTTATACATTGATACCATTACATGATAAAAATATAAGTATATACCAATAAGAGTTGTTTTTCATAAAATGTATAACATATTTCTAAATTTGTTACATAAATAATTTATTTTTTAATTAACAATTTCTATTAGACGTGATAACAAGATTCACATAGTAGTTAAATATCCAATACTCCAATACCATCAGAAAACATAATTGAGCCGTGTCACGACAAAACCAACATAATAGGTTTGCGACCAGCATGGATCCAGACCAGCCTGTGCATCCGTGCAGTCTGATCAGGGTCCATGCTGTTCGCTTAACAACTCTATAACAAGTAGAGAAACTGAAAGCGAACAGCATGGATCCTGATCAGACTGCGCGGATGCGCAGGCTGGTCTGGATTCATGCTGGTCGCAAACGCATTATGTTGGTTTTGTCATGACACGGCTATCTACTCTACCAACAGAAAATATATCATCAAGACACCTAGTTCATGATGGAATCTCCGTTCGTCAGCTTTGTGTTGTGTAAGTTAATTCTATAAATTTTAATTATTAACAAAAACGGATTTTTTACCTCTTTATTAATAAAATTGCCTGTCATATAAAGGTCTTAATACTAATTAGTGAAATTATCTGATTGGATCAAGAATAGATTAATTATTAGTAAAAAAAATAAAGAAATTTAAAACAGCATTCCTATAGATTAGATTCTTCACAATTTTCAGAAAAAATTGAAACTGTGTCTAAAAGAAAAAAAATATTGTGCAGCGAACAAGGATAGTAGTTTAGACGTGACGTGGCAAACGTTAAGGGTTTTTGTACTTTGTACATTTTGTTTCTCAAATTTGATTTTTTGAAATATGTTGATTCATGTGGAAGCATGCAGGTTTAGTATTTCGTGTTTATTGTTGGTGTTACGAATAGTCCGATAGTGAAACTCTTTCTTTCGGAAGTTACAGTACTATAAAAAAACTTTCATGAAAAGAGACAATTTTAGAGGCTGATTTTAAAAATTAATAACGAAAATTACGAACTACTTACATGTAGTGACTATATATTGCTAACACACTGATAAGTTACATCTGAATTCTAACTCATTATTCTAAGTATTTAATACAGCAATTTGTGTAACTTACTGCATGACTTTTAAAGATTATGTGAATTATTGTTTATTTAAAAAATTGCTTTTCTTATCCCTGAGTAAAATATTTTAATCACAGAAATTAATTGTAATCGCTAATTTTCTGTTGAATATGTCTGATTTGTATAAAAGTAAATAACGTTTAGTATAGGAAACCGTGTTCCCCATAATAGGTCAAGTAAAGTTTTTTTCAAAGAAAGAAAACAAAACTGCATGCTTTTGCTTAACGCTATAAATTTTGTCACCACCTACCACCTATAGTGTGTGGAATTTTAAACAGACTATATCTACTTTGTGTTTAGTCAAAACGTAGAAATTGTAGCAATTATTTATATTTTCTTATATAGATTTTGAGCATATTATATCTATAAAGTATCGTTCATAAGGGAGATGCATACACGAGTACATTAATTTACGCCATAAACTATATTACGTCTTACCGGGCTATATGACGTCAACATCATTTCCGACGATTGATTTCATTTGTTTATAGCGAATATGTAGTTTTGTACAAATAAATCTAGATGATTAATACTTAGCACAGATCGAACCTACACACCGTCTTTGTATTTGACACCCACTTCATGAAAAAACTTTCGCCATGGCTCCTATGTTATCAAATTTATTGTCAAATTGCTATTAGCGCGGCTGTAAAAATCACGCCCCCCCCCCCGATACACAATCTGAAATGTCAAACTATAAATTATATTAAATGATGTTAAGGACATGGGATTGTTTTCACATTCTTTTTGTGGAAATGTATATCGGTATTTTTCTATGTATCTGCAAAATTTTGGTATCATACGTCTAGTGAGTATCACATAGCAACAATTTGTAATTGGTTAGTGCAATGGTTCCCGAGCCAAAATGATGGTTCGACTTTGACTTCTTATGTTGAAAGTTAACACTTTTCGCCACAGGCTCGCATAATATAATTTTATTCTATAAATTTAGTGTTGAACCTTAACTAATTAAATATCATCTATACGCTTTTTTTGTAAACTGGACATATATTTATAGGTGCCATTGTGACACTGTGTATGTCAGACGATCTATCGGAAAAAATCAAAGGAGGCCTGCCAGCAAGAAAAGGGGACTTCAGTTTTGCTGTTAGAATATTGAAAGATAGTGATTTTGTATGTAATGGAATGCTGGTATCACGTTCCTGGGTTCTTACGAGGAAGGGTTGTATTGAAAAGTATGTCATTTCTAACTATTCAGCGTTATCGCGGTATTTCTATCACATGGTTTGTTCCGTCATGTCTTTGCTATCGCAGGGATATAGTTTATTTTTATTATAATAAAATTTTATTGCAACTATATAACAGATGTAAAAATGTAACACAACACAATTGTACATTTAAGTATAGTGCAATGGATTGGGCTACAAGTTCTATCGCAATTAGCAACAGCTCTTCCTACAAAGTCTAACTTTTATAATAGCATAATTATATTTCAAGTAATTATCATGAGAATACTTACAAATAACTGATTTAAAATAGGAGTGACCAAAAAAAATTCCACCAAACAAACATAAAACAAAACAAGAGGGCCATGATGGCCCTAGATCGCTCACCTGAATTATCAAACTCATCCAAACAATTACCTAGACAAGCATTCTGACCAAGTCTCATGACAGGTGAGTCAAAAATGTGACCACTACAGTGTTAACAAGGATTATCTATATTTGAGCAGTGCGACCTAGTTTTTTACCCAGGTGACACATATTCAAACTTGACCTAGAAATCATCAAAACAAACTTTCAGACCAATTTCCAGGATACTTGGATCAAAACAGTAGCAACTAGAGTGTTAACAAGATTTTTCTATTTTTAGCTCCGGTGACCTAGTTTCACATGCGATTTCGAACTCATCCAAGCAATTACCTAGACAAGCATTCTGACCAAGTTTGATGATAATGGAGTCGAAAATGTGACCACTAGAATGTTAACAAGGTTTTTCCATATTTGGGCGGTGTGACCTAGTTTTTCATCCAAGATGACTCATGTTCGATCTTGACTTAGAAATCATCAAAACAAACTTTCAGACCAATTAACAGAATATTTGGATCACAACAGTAGCCACTAGAGTGTTAACAAGATTTTTCTATTTTTAGCTCCTGTGACCTAGTTTTTCATCCGAGATGTCCCATGTTCGATTTATTCCCAGCAATGACCTAGACAAGTTTCCTGACCAAGTTTGATGACAATTGAGTCAAAATTGTGATCACTAGAGTGTGTTAACAAGGTTTTTCTATTTTTAGCTCCTGTGACCTAGTTTTTCATCCGAGATGACCCATGTTCGAACTCATCCGAGTTATTACCTAGACAAGCATCTTGATCAAGTTTGATGATGATTGATGCAAAAATGTGACCGCTAAAGTTGTTAACAAGGTTTTTCTATTTTTAGCTCCGGTGACCTACTTTTTCATCCGAGATGACCCATGTTCGAACTTATCCAAGCTATCAACTAGATAAGCATCCTGACCAAGTTTGATGATGATTTGATGCAAAAATGTGACCGCTAGAGTGTTAACAAGGTTTTTCTATTTATAGCTCCGGTGACCTAGTTTTTCATCCGAGATGACCCATATTCGAACTCATCCGAGCTATTATCTAAACAAGCATCCTGACAAAGTTTGATGATGATTGGGTCAAAAATGTGACCACTAGAGTGGTCACAAGGTTTTTCTATTTTTAGCTCCTGTGACCTAGTTTTTCATCAGAGATGACCCATGTTCGAACTCATCCAAGCAATTGACTAGACAAGCATTCTGACCAAGTTTGATGATGATTGGTTCAAAAATGTGACCACTAGAGTGTTCACAAGGTTTTTCTATTTATAGCTCCTGTGACCTACTTTTTCATCCGAGATGACCCATGTTCGAACTCATCCGAGCTATCACCTAGACAAACATCCTGACCAAGTTTGATGAAGATTGGGTCAAAAATGTGACCTCTAGAGTGTTCACAAGGTTTTTCTATTTTTAGCTCTTGTGACCTAGTTTTTCATCTGAGATGACCCATGTTCGAACTCATCTATGCTTTCAACTAGATAAGCATCCTGACCAAGTTTGATGATGATTGAGGCAAAAATGCGACCGCTAGAGTGTTCACAAGCAATTGTGGACGGCCGGACGGACGACGGACGACGGACGACGGACATTCATCGATCCTAAAAGCTCACCCTGAGCAAGCTCAGGTGAGCTAAAAAAACTCAAACCTCAAATATATAAATTTGGTATGGAAAAATATTGTTATACATGTACCACTTAGATTGTCAAGGAATTAATAGCACAACATATGCAAAAGCCATAAAATCAAACCTTAAAAGAAGATAAAGAGAAAAATGCAAATGTTTCCCCTAAATTGCAGAGATAATGTCGACAGCGACAATTTGAAATCGAATATAGCATACGTTACACTTTAAATTCATGTGAAGTTTGTCGGTAGCTTAAGAAGACAACTAAATTGTGCAAGTTTCTATACAGATTTTACCACTTTACTGTGTAACTAAAAAGAAATGACAATATTATTCAGCTCTCACGGTGTCCCGTTAGGGCGATCGCGACACTCACAAAAATTACAAAAATGGTGAAATTACGAAGGTACTATGATGAAAAGTCATGGCAAAAAAAAGGAAATAACGAAACCACGATGGTGAAAACTATTATTAAAAATTATTTTCTGTTTTCGCCTTCATAACTCCGACCTTTCAAATCTTGGTTCCGTTATTTATCACATTAAATGATCATTATTAACATACGTTAATCATGCCTAATCATTTTGTTTTACAGTGAGACATGGGGCTACAAGATTGTGTTCTCGTCCCTTTTCACTCGACAAGTTAGATATATACAGGTTAGTAATAAAAATATTCTGTTGAATGTTATTTATAGAAACAAACTGAAAATTATATGAATATTTCTGATTAATTGAAAAAATCATTTACACCAACCCCTTTTTGAACAATAAAGCTTACATGTGAGCTGTAGACGTCGCTAAAATGACACGTTTTTTGCCAATGTTTTAAGTTAGGATTAATTTGCTTTTAAACAGATAAAATATACATATATATTGTTTTAAAAAGACAAACAACAAGTACGACGAAATTATTCTTGCAAGACTGAATAAGAGAGTGCAGCGAACAAAAGACAATGTTCGACCATTTGACCGTTTCATCTGGAAAGGAGGTGAAGAACAAGTGACTGACTGTAAAATGATTGGATTCTCAAGTATGTTCGTTCTCACATTCATAAAGTTAATATAGGCTTAACCCTTGCATATTCCTTTTTCTAAACCATGATGTGTACCTAAATGATTTACTTTAAGTCGCTTATTACTGATGATCCTTTTAAAAAAAACTTTTATTGATTTCGTATTTCAGGAACGTCTGATCCGTGTATTTTTTAATCCGAAGTTCTCCTGTTTTGATTTTATATGAGTCTCCTTCATGAGCACACATTATTCAATCATACAAAGAGGAAAATATGAAATTTGAACACCACAGATCTGTAAGAATTATTAGGGATTGTTTTATGAATTTAAGCAATATTGTCAAAGGGACTCAACAGAGAATAGTTTCTCAAAATGTGTGTATAATTTGATAAAGGTCTGGACCAATAACTTATGTACACACATTCAGATCATTCACTCATTATTACCAGAAAAAATAACTTTATTGTGCAATTGACCCACAATTAATAATAGAAAGAGCATCGAAACACGAGGTTATCTGATTTGTAAGAGGGGGCGTAGCCCCCGAGTATTAATCAGATTGCCGAGTGTATTGATGATCTTTCTCTTTTGTATCATAGTCAAACACAAAAACACGTCCCCTGTTGTCACAATATGAAACCCCGGGAAAAAGTAACCTATGAACGAGCATATGATATTGGTAAACGGAAAAAGGGATCGAGTGAGAGTACACTTTGCATATTTAGCCCCGCCTATAAATTAAGCACGAATTTCTGATAAAGCGTTATCATCCTGATTAAAATAGACTTAATCTATGGAAATCATCAGCGTCACTGTGAAATAATGCATATGCTTAATCCTCCTAATAAATTTATGCATATGTCTAGAAAATGGAAACAGGCTTTATACTTCAGGACCACGGATTTATATTACATTTGTAATATAAATCCGTGTTCAGGACATACAACTGTACAATAATGGTTTTTCATTCATATGCCTAATAATTTAATCAGCAGATGAACCAATGTTAGGATATCAAGTAAGATTATTATAGGAT